CCCTCTGGCAGGTTTTCAGAGGCAATAATTGAATGGGAGGAGATTTCCCATCCTTCTCCCTCAGAGCAGCTGGTGGCCTCGAACCTGATGTTTGTGGGATTGTAGTGCAGCTTGGAAGCAGGAGTGGCACTTTCCACTTCTGAAATAGCTTGCCTTCAGAAACTCTATGAATGTGGAGAAGCGATGAAAATTATACAAGCGTTCAGGTCTTTCATTCATAGGATCGTTATGAGTTGTCTACAACTCGATGACACTTAACAGCAACAACAATAGTGCAGCTTCTTGCCTCTAGGCCACCAGAGCTCTCTGAAACATATGATTGTTTTGATAACTGCATTATAGTATACCAAACTGTATATTCCTTAGAGAAAGCATTTAATTTATTCCACATACACAGAGACATATAAATCATGTATACATGTATAAGTACATTCACATATAATTATCCCAAATAATTATTGCATTTTTTTTTCTGACTTTGGTATCCTATGTGCATTAAAGTAGAACTAAGGTCACAGGGTTTTAAATGGTTAAATTTTCAGAAGTTGTTGCCAAGACCTTCATGTTAAGCAATTCTGGTGGCTTAAACTCTAAACTTTTGATTATTGTTGTTGTTATGTGCTATTGAGCCACTTGTGACTCATAGCAACCCTATGTACAACAGCCCTAAACCATGCTCTATCTGGTGCCAATCTTATTGTCTCCTACACACCTATTCCCATTACCCCAGTGATGGAATTAATCCATTTTATTGAGGATCTTCCTCTCCTGCGCTGTCCCTTTACCCTCCCAAGCATGAAGTCCATCTCCAAGGACTGGTCCCTCCTTGCGACATGTCCAAAGTATGTCAGACAAAGCTTCACAATCCTTGCTTCTAAGGAGCAGCCTGGCTTCACCCTCACCAGGATGAACTTGTTTGTTCTCCTAGCAGTCCATGGTATATTCAATACTCTTCTCCAGCACCACAGCTCAAAGGCATCAACTCTCCTTCCATCATTCCTAGTTAGTGATCAGCAGTCAAGAATGTTAATCATTTGTACTTTCCAGTAAACTAATTCATATCTGACCAACTAGTGGGTTTTCAGAGAGAGTTGATCACATTGGAGGAGACTGTTCATCTTCTCCCTTGTTGTTTTTATGTGCTGTCGAGTCACTTGCGACTCATAGCGACCCTTTGTACGACAGCCCTAAACCCTGCTTTATCCTGTGCCAATTGCACTGCCTCTGACACACCCATCCTGATTGCCCCAGTCACTGAATCGATCCACCTCATGGAGGGTCTTCCCCTCTTGCACCATCCCTCTACCCTCCCAAGCATGATGTCCCTCTCCATGGACCTGTCCTTCCTTACAACATGTCCAAAGTATGTCAGATGAAGTCCCAGAATCCTTGTCTCCAAGGAGCAACCTGTTTTAACCCTCTCCAGGATGAATCTGTTTGTTTCCTTGGCAGTCCATGGTATATTCAATACTCTTCTCCAGCACCGCAGCTCAAAGGCATCAATTCTCCTTCTATCCTTCCTAATCATCCAACTCTCTGATGCATAACAAGTGATTGCAAAGACCGTAGACTGTATCAGACACACCTTAGGCTCCAGAGTGACACCATTGCTCTTCAGTACCCTGGAGAGGTCCCTAACAGCAGACTTTCCCATCGTAATATGGTTTGTTGACTTCCTGGCTGTTGGTGTCAAGAGTGTTGACCATGGAGTCAAACAGACTAAAGTTGTTGACAATCTTAATTTCTTCACTCTCTATCCTGATGCTGCCAATTGGTCCAGTGGTGAGAATCTTTGTCTTTATAAGCTAATGGATTTGAATCATGTACTTTTGGGTTGGCGGTACAATTCCTCACCACTAGGCCATTAGAGCTTCATTACATAACAGGTGCTTAATAAGCACAAGCTCTTTTTTACAAGTCATTTTAAGAGGCAAGACTTCTTGCACAAATATAATTCTAAAAAGGTGTTTTTTCATGTTATCTTCTCTGTAAGAATGAAAGTTTCTTTGGTGCCAATGAGCTAATATTACTTTACCTAATTTCATTGTAAATTACAGATGAACATGAAGAAAAGATAATATACACAAAATCACTCACTGATCTAGTGGTTCATTTTGAAATACTTCCTCTTATCCTCAGACCAGTTTAGTTAACAAAATTTGGTTGAATAAACTAGGTAATTCAACTCCAATCAAATTTTAATTCAATATAGAAGATTCTTGGGAGGTAACTATCTGTTGGTGAAAATTTATTGAAACATTTAATGAATTCATTCTTCCTTCTCCTCCGCTCTCATTCTTCAGTTATTTTTTACTGGCTGAAAACAGTGGAAACTGATGACTGTAAGACTTCATTACTTTTACAGAATACACTATAGTACATTTACTATAAATAATTCACACCATACTACACTTGTCAAAAAGAATGAACGAAGTATATATCATGGAACAGGAGCCTTGTTTTTTATTGTTTTTGCCTACTTACTCACTAATTCTCTAACTTCAGCTCCCTGTCACAGTGGATTAGAGTAGTTCTGCTGTATACAAATATTGTATTCTGGGTAATTAGATATTGGGATAGGAGCCTCTGTAAATTACTTTAACTGGTGTCAGTACTGAAGCAAATAAGAAGTTTTTAGTTCTGCTTCTACTTTGGGTTATTTTCTGACCCTAAACAGCCTGACAAAAAGGAGTGCTTTTCTTTGTCAAAGGGAGCCTTTTCAAATATAACTGCCAGACACACTATTGAGCAATGTGTTCAATTCTAATTGGCTGAGATCTTTTCAATTCGGCAGTTTCATCTTTAATGCAATGGATGTAAGATTATGTGGAGGTCTTTTCAATGGTTTTTCCATACCGGTGATTAGGGCAGAGGATTTGAACATAAGCAGGCTGCTAGCTATTTCTTCTGGCCAATTTAAATTGATTCATAGAAGTCCTTTGTACCCTAGGGAAAGGGCAGAACAAATCCAAGTGAGTGAGACAGCTATCGCTACACTTTTAGATGGAATAGTAGAAAAAATAAGGGGGGTTCAGGGAGAGGAAACACTGTAAAATTGGAGCTCAGGGCAGCTTGGCATAGAAATATTGAAACTTAACTGATAGCATTGTACATTGATTCGGGGTCACCAGAAAAAAAATTATTTCCAAGATTGGTTGAGTCCCCTTTAGGTTAAAAGGGCTATGTAAATAGAATATTTTCCCCCCTATTTGATTCCACAGGATACCATGATGAGTAAACTTTTCCTTTTTTCTTTTTTAACTTTGAAATATTTCCAAAAGAGAATATAAACAACCTTCCTGTACTCAGAATATCCATTTATGCGTTACATCAGAATAGAAGAAGAGGAGCCACGTAAAAATTTGTTGTGAAAGAGGTGGAAAATTTGGCTGAGATCAATGGTCAAATATGGCAAAGGGTAGATGACTAAAATGAACGATTCGAATTAGACACTTCCCTAAATAGTCTTTCTTTCAAATATATTAGTCATGATAGTTATGAAGTTCCTTGCTGTTTATGCTTATAAGGAGAGGATTCAGACCAAGACAAACCATAATAGGGACCATCCTACTTTATTCTGATCTTAACGGGAAAATTCAAAGTGAAGTTTTCTTGGTTCCTGAACATCTCCAAATTGTTCAGGGAAACTCTGTATGCCACATCAATTAATGTGCTGACTGCTTTTCTGAAGAAAAAAGAGAGCATGTCTATGCAAACCAAACAGACATTGTGCAGTGTTGACAATATAGTAACAAGGCCATCTCCATCCTCCCAGAGTACATGAAAACAATGCAACATTTCTCCACCCAGAGAAAAACTGCAACAATTTAATTTTGTTGGTTTGACTTGATTTGCCCTAGAACATATGCAAAACATCCATCTGTCTCCTGGGTGCTAACATTCAACTTGTTAAAATTCATAGCAATAATGAAATGCAGCACTGATGCCTGGCGCATTAGTTGAACAAATAAGGGTGACAAATATGGCATATGTTTTGGAGACCAGTGGGCAAGTCCCCTAAGCGAGAAGATTTTTGTTGTTGCTATTTATTGTATGGTAGGAAATCTTAGGAGCATGTACAATGATCGATTGTTTCATAAAATATAGAATTACACACACACACAATAAATAAGTAAAAATAAAAACTACTTTCAACTATCACTCTCAATCAACTGAAAACAAACAAAACCAACTTCTGTGAAGTCTAGCTTCAGCTGCTATTTCTGAGCTGCCTTCCGGAAGACTAATGCTTTGTAAACAGTCTTCCTTTGAAACTGTAATTTCTTGAGAGATGCTGTCTGTGAATCACCTGAATAAATTCACTGTGTTGATAAGGAGAACTCAATAAGGCCTCCTGAGACGGCAAAATATGTAAAATTTTATATTCAAATAGAGAGTCACCTAGATTATATTTTTTATACAAAGTAGAACCTTTGTATCTAACAGAAGTGAATCAATGTATCTATAAAAGATCATGCTTATGAATGCTGATAGCAGCATTATTCTTAATGACCAAAAATTGTAAACTATCCAGATGCCCATGAATAGTAGAATTGTATATAAATATGATAGCAGAGTCATAAAGCAACATACTGTGTATCAGTAAGTACAAGCAACCTATACCTATCTGCAACAATATGGATAGCTCTCAGGAATAGTTGGACAACAAAAGCTGGACACAAAGCACTGAGTATATCACAGCATTCCCATTATATTAAACTGTGGGGGAAAACCAAAACTAAGGTCTACCACAAGAAACGAATGTCTACCCTTTTGGGGTATAGATCGTAAGATTATATATATGGGCGTCTAGATGCTGACAGCACCTAGTTTTCTCATTTAGTCTTTAAGTATGTTCTGTTTGTGAAGTTATTGACTTGTATACCACAACATTAGCAAATGTGTGAGAGTGTGCATTTTCATATACTATTTAAGTTTTAAATAATTATTACAGACTTATGTTTAACTCCTTCACTAATGTCTCTTAACGTGTACTCAACTAGCTCTGACCTTAACTTTTCCACGTGCTTGACTATATGCTTATAACAGGACCTTGTTTCCAATCATTAAGCTCCATCCGTCCTCTCATTATGGACTTTCAGATTCTACTTCAGGCAGAAAAGCATTCAGACCAGCTGGGCCAGCTTAGAAAATCTTCCAGTACTGTAATTGCCCTGTGCAATATGGCCTTCTAGGATTCCAGCATTAAAGTTAGCAAAACTATTTTCTTACCAGCTGTTCCACAGTAGAGGAATAGGCAATCTCATCCTGTGCGATTAACTGCCTCTGAAAACCCACTGGAGGGTCAGCAATGGGTCAGTTCCAACTTGATGGCACATAACAACGACAATGTAATCTAAACATCCTAAATAACTAACGAATGTTTCAAAATTTACAAAGATCCTTAAATTTCTGCCATAGTTTACAGTATTTGTGTATTATATTTCAATAGTATGTACCTCACTTGAGAGTTAAAACATTTCTAAATAACAGCAAGATGCCTTCACATTCTTTTCTATTGAAAACCACAGCCCTGTTCTGAAGGTGCCCTCAATGTCTCTGACACAACTACCCCCATAACTCCAGTTGCTGTGTCAATCCATCTCATCTGGGGTCTTCCTCTCCTTCTCTGTCCCCTCCACCTTTCCAAGCATGATATTCTTCTCCAAGGATTGATCCATCCTGTCACACCCAAAGTATGTGACACAAAGGTTCAAAATCCTTGCCTCTAAGGAGGGACTTGGTTTAACCCTCCCCAAGAAAGACAGACCTCTTTTTTTCCCCTTTTCTTAGCAATCCATGTCAATACTCTTCTCCAGCAGCACAACTCAAAGGCATCAATTATTCTGTTATTTTTAGTCATTGATGCACAGCAAGTAATAGCAAACATCATGGTTTGAATTAGGCACACTTTAATCCCTAGACTAACATCATTACTCTTTAGGACTTTGGAGAGGTCCCTAACAGCACACTTCCCCAAAGCAATCCATCTTTTGATTTCCTGACTGATGGTATCAGAAGTACAAAGAAAGTATTGATTTATTCTAGTTATTGTTCCCCTCTACACATATCATCTCACTTAATTTTACAGTCATATAAAGCAGGAGGGACGTGGTTTGAGGCCACCAGCTGCTCCATGGAAGAAGGGTGAGCAACCTTCTCCTGTGTGATTAGCTGGCTCTGAATAGCCGATAGAGGGTCAGCTATGAGTCTGCTATGACTCTACGGTAAACAACAACAACATAAAGCAGGAATTGTTAACATTCACATTTTTCAAGTGAAGACACTGTAACTCAGGAAGCTTATGTAAATTGGAAAAGATCAAAGAACATATACATGCCTTGATTTAAGCCTAAATGTTCTCACATAGAGCCTGAGCTCCTAATATTTGGAACTCGTTTAAGGGCAGAGTTAAACACAAACTTCTGAATTTCTCCTATTTTCCCAGTGCAAGCATTGTGAGTAGAATTAAATTTAATTCCTTTCCCATTTTCCCATTTGCATTTATTTTGTTTCATTTTTTCATTTGTGTCTACATCTAAATTTTCCACATAAAATATGAAGAATAGCTCTAAGTCTAGTCAAAGAAGTAACTAAATGCACTCCCTTCATTACCTGTCATCATTTTTTCCCCCTTTAGTACCTAAAACTGAGATAGCCCATTCCCATTTCAAAGTGCAAATACAGAGAATGCCTTCAGCTCATGTGCAGTCAGGAGTTAGTTGCCTTCTCTAATGATGGTCTATTGGACTCTTTGATCCTAGTCCCTAGAGGCTTAAACACAATCTACAGAGGAAGTGGGAGTATACAAGTCATGAAAGCAAAGGAATTATTGATGCATTGAAATAATCTATGCACACAGTTCAGTGTATCACTACAGAGGCACGATGATTAAAAATATACCTTTTTCATAAGCCCACATCAAACATGTCTGCTCATCTTTTTCGCCACTAGACCTGCTGGGATCACAAGCTACCAGATTCATATCAGCTCCATTATCCAGTAAGAACTGAACCAGGCGGATGTGACCGTGGTAACAAGCAGAGTGTAGTCCTATGATAGAAAGAACAAAAGAAAGAAAAAGAAAAATTGAATTTCAACTTCCAAAAGACAATCATCACTACATAATAGTATCATTGCTAGTAGCCTAAAGTGACAATTTATTTTCTTGATAAATAATTAATTTTATTTTTGAATAAATAAGGTAATACCTTATGCCAAAGATGTCTTTTATTCTAATAAATTCTTTACAGGAATTCTCACATGACTAAAATTTCTAGCATTTGCATACTTACTATAAAAGTATTAAGATAAAATATATTTACACAAAAAAAGAACGAACACTCTATTTCTCTGAGGGTAGGGTGATGCAATCAGTTTGTCTTTGCTGTGACCATAAAGATCACTCACTCACTGCTGTTGAGCTGTTGCCAGTACACACTGACCATCCATCAGCTTTCTGAGACTGTAAATCAGAATGGGAGCAGACGGCCCATCTTTCTCCTGTGAAGTGACTAATGGATTGAAACCGCCAGAGAACCATGGCCTTTGGGTTAGCAGTGCAATTTACTACAGATTACTGGTCTTTTCAGTCACTTGCTATGCATCTGAGAGCTAAAGAGTGAATAAAGATGGCAGAAAAGAATTTATGCCTTTGAGCTACAGTGTTAGAGAAAAGTAGTGCATGCCTAATGGATTATCAAAAGAATAAATAGATCTATGTTGGCGAAAGCACAGCCAGAGTGCTCCTTAGAGGCAAAGATGCAGAAGTTTCATCTCTCATACTTTGGACATGTTTTTAGGAGGGTCCATTTTCTGGAAAGGAACACCAAAATTGACAAAGTGATGGGTCAGTGAAAGAGAGAAGGACCACCAATGAGATGAATTAACACAGTGACTGAAGCAATTGACACAGTGACTGAAGCAGTGCACTCAAGTGTATCAGGGAAAATGAAGATGGCACAAAAAAAAGGACAGGTTTCCGAGCCATTGATCATAGGGTTGTTATGAGTTGTACTCAATTCAGTGGTATCTAACAACAACATTATCATTCCTCTCAGCAATAAAAAGGATACAAAGAAATTGAGCAAAAGTCAAAACAACGGTGTTTTTTGTGTCATCATCATGTATCATCAATTCTAAATTATTCCATTTTATGAACTTCCCATTCTTACAGGATTTGAAAAGCACTGCTGACGCTGTAGAAAGACATTCAATTCCTAGTGAAAAGGTCAGATGTTTGCACCTACCAGTCATTCTAAAGGAGAAACATGAGGCAGTGCTTCTATAAAGAGTTAGAGCTTTGGAAAATCTATGGACAGTTTTATTCTATCTTACAGAAATGTTGAGTAATGCAGACAATTCAGTGGCAGTGAGTTATTAGTTGGCTTGAAGGAACCCTGATGGTACAATGAGTACTAAGCTGCTTAATGAACAATCAACAGTCTGAACCCATCAACCAGTTAATGGGGAAAGAAGAGATAGGCTGCTCATTAAAGATGTATTGTCTTGCAAACATCACCGAGGTAGTTCTAGTTTGTTGTACGGGGAGATGAGTTGAAATTAACTCCACAGCAGAGGGGTATTTCCTCCTCTCTTCACAGCATTGTCCCTGAGAGATGATTTACATCATAAAGTGTGGGATGTTCTTACCAGTGTGCCCATCTCTTCCTTGGTGGTTGATACTTAGAACATTCTGATCAAGAAGAAATTTCACCAGGTCAATGTCTTTGCCATAAGTACAAGCACTGCAAAAAATTACAACACAAAGAAGATAGACTACCATGATTCATTCAGATGAACTCACCAAGATGCTGCTGTGTATGTTAGAGTGTCTAAGAGAAGGGGGGGGGGCAGAACGAGGTAATGAAAAATAAGCAAAGTATTTTCATAATAAAGAAAAATGTATGAATGTTGCTATTATAATGTGTTATTGAGTAAAAAATCAACTAAATCTTACCTGACCCTCCAACAGGTTTTCAGAAACACTGAATCACGCAGGAGGAGATTGCACATCTTTCTTCTTGAGAGTAGTTGGTGGATTCAAACAGAATGCGTTTGGTTTTAGCAGTTCAAATTCTTATGACTAAGCCTCCAGACCTCCCTCAATGTACCAGTGAAGTAGTCAATTCTTAAAGTCCTCACATGAAAGAACAGAGCCCTTTAAATCTACTATTTCCTTATTAAGCATTTCACCTGAGATTTAATGATTTCTTTTTAATTTTTGTTTTATGATGTTTTGTTTACAAAGTTGGTATACATTGTATTTCACACTATTCTTCATTCACATTGTGTTTTATACAATCATTCCCATTCCTTGTTGTTGTTGTTATGTGCCGTCAAGACATTTGCGACCTATAGCGACCCTATGTACAACAGCCCTAAACCCTGCTCTATCCCTCGCCAATCTCACTGGCTCTGACATGCCTATCCCCATTACCCCAGTGATGGAATCAATCCATCTCATCGAGGGTCTTCCTCTCCTGTGCTGTCCCTCCACCTTCCCAAGCATAACGGACCTATCCAAGGGACTGGTCCCACCTGGCAACATGTCCAAAGTATGGCAGACAAAGCCTCAGAATCCTTGCCTTCAAAGAGTAGCCTGGCTTCACCCTCTCCGGGATTAACCTGTTTGTTCTCCTACCAGTCCAGGTATATTCAATACTCTTCTCCAGCACCAAAGCACAAAGGCATCAACTCTCCTTCTATCATCCCTAGTCATTCATTGTCCAGCATTTTTAAAAATTAATCATCATTAGACGACTCCCACCTTGTCCTTTCATGTGCTAACTGGATCTTCCCGATTTCTTTTACTCCCTCCTTCCACCCACCAAAACATGCAACTCTGTGGTTTCACTCCTACCCATTCTTACTCTTCTGCTCCCACCGCTCCCCACCTTGGGTCCCCATACATGTTTTACTAATTGCGCTTCTGTTTTTATAATAATTGTCTTATTCAGTAAGGGAAAACTTTAAATATTTCAAGAAATGTTTGAGATTTTTATAGTAGTACCTAGGAATTACAATAAAATGATAAAATTCAAGGCAATCCTGAGAGATTTGTTGAAATATAGGCACAAAAATCTGAAACTATTTCTCATAAAAGTGTTTGTGGTCTTTTTTATTATTTTCTTGGTCAGTGAGTAAGATCTGACTGTTGTTGTTAAGTGTCGTCGAGTCGCAGGCGACTCATAGCGACACTATGAAGGAGAGTCCTTGACGCTTGGATGCCTTTCATCCTCTCTCCAAGTTCATAGGGTTTCCAGAGGCAAGCTATTATGGAAGTGAATGCCACTCCTCCTTCCACACTTGTTTAATCAGGGAGCTCCACCCCACTCTCAGTCCGCATTGGGTAGCCAACCATTAATGAATTTGACACATCCGTGTCACAGGGTTCAGCCTCACAGCAACAACAAGTGACCATGGGGACGGCAACTTGTACACCAGGGCTATACAACCTAGAGGAATGTCTGAACAAAAACAATTAAAGACTGTCCTGAGGGCCGCAAAATAAAAGTCACCCACCTTTGTCTTGGTCACATCGTTTTCTCTTCACTGGGCCAGCTGATCACTCTCTCTCTTTCTCTTTCTCTACTTTACCTTTTTTTATAAAGAACACTGGTGATCCAGTAACAATCCAGATTGAACTACTATGCCTATTATTCACAAGCCAAGAGATTCCAGAGAATCCCTTGAGTTTTAGTTTTACTGCTTATAACATAATAATCAGTTATAACTTCTCTGCCTGTGTCATAGTGTTACTGATATTCTCAAGTGAAATAATGTTTATGTAAGTACATAATTACAAGCAGTAGAAGATTGCTCACGGTCAGCTCTTTCAAGTTAGAAGGTAGGTTTTGGTGGAAAAAATTAGTATAAGACTAAAAATAACGCTGCTATAGATTAATGCTTGAAAAGGTAGAGAGTCAGTAAAAGAGGGAAAGAACCTCAACATAATGACTACAACATTAGGCTTGAATATATCAGGAATCATGAGGATGGCACAGGATAAGACAAGCTTCAGATCTGTTGTTCATAGAGTCACTGAGTCATGGGCAACATGAAGGCACTGAACAACAACACAGATGAATTTTACAACTAGATTTGTTGAAATTGTTGTTGTTGTTATGTGCCATTGAGTCACTTGTAACTCATAGTGACCCTGTGTACAATAACTCAGAACTCTGCTCTTTCCTGAGCCAGTCTCACTGTGTCTGACACATCTACACTGATTATCTCTGTTACCGTGTCAATACATCTTATCCAGGGTCTTCCTCTCCAGTGTTGTCCCCTCAAGCATGATGTCATTCTTCAGGGACAGGTCCTTCTTGGTCATGTGCCCAAAGTGTGTGAGACAAAGCTTCAAAGTCCTTGCCTCAAAGGAGCAGTATGGTTTTACCCTCTCTAGAATAAACCTGTTTGTTCTCTTGGCAGCCCATGGTATGTTCAACATTTCTCCAGCACCACAACTCAAAGGCATCAATTCTTATTCTGTCATTCTTGGTCATTGTCCAATTCTCTGATGCATAGTAAGTCATTGCAAAGATCATGGCCTAAATCAGGTGCAACTTAGTCTCTAGATTACATCGTTGCTCTTCAGCACTTTTGAGAGGTCTCTGACAACAGCCCTCACGAGAGAAATTAATTTTTTTTATTTCTTAACTGCTGGTGCTAAGAATGTTGAATGTAGAGCCATGCAAGCTAAAATTGTTAACAACCTCAAACTCTTCTCCATCTATCTGTTTTCGTTGTTGTTATGCGCCATCGAGTCGCTTACGACTCATAGCGACCCTATGTACAACAGCCCTAAACTCTGCTCTGACCTGTGCCAGTCGCACTGTCTCTGACACTCCCATACCGATTATCCCAGTCACTGAATCAATCC